CGCATATCTTGAGTAAAATTTCAGATATTTTAAATTAGTGTTCCTATTTTGGTGCATGCTAACTTTATGTGTTCTCATTAAGTCCCGGAATTTTTGATGTTTCAGTAAACGTAAATGTAAAAGTTTGAAAATCAGCTGCAAAGTTTTTGTCTGCCAGCAATTTTGAGGCAATATCTCTTAGCTTCTCAGGTTAGGTTTTTACTATGTTGAACTATTTATCAAGCAGTTTTTGTCTAATTTTTTTATCGTTTTTTTATCTCTTTTTCCTCCAGCCCCGCACCCCACCTCACACGAGCATCAATTTTATGGTCTAACGAGTGGTTTTACAAGGTTGATTATCAAGACATAATATGTTTGTCATGGCTTAATTAGTCTGCATGTCAATTTTCATGACAATCGGACAATGTGAACAGTAATTTAAATAATGAAAATTTGCAGGTGGGTTGGGGGAGGAAAAAGAGCCGGGCTGGCTAATTGAAGCCAGTTAAGGAAAGAAGAAAGCTATAGTCATCAGTTTTCTAAGTAATTCAAGATCGAAGTGAATTTGAAACAAGAGCACAGAAGAACCCATCACAATATTTAAAGCAACTGCGAGGGGAAAAGAAAAATTGCGAGGGGAACTGCGAGGGGAATAGAAAAATTTATATCAACTGAAATAAAAAATCAGCTTTTTTGGGTACTAATAGTCGTTGAAATGAGACATCGGGGGGGGGGGGGGGGGGGGGGGGAGAACGTTCTCTCAGGGATTGTGGTTCACCTGACCTCTTAAAGGGTATCTCCTTTAACTTTTTGTTACGACTTCAATTTCAGGTCGACCAAACTGCTATTACTTCTTAACCTGTCTTCGGTGCTTAAGTGCATTATCGAAATCTTCAACAAATTCCTCTAATTGTCATTTTTGACCTTTTTAATTCGCCTGCAACGCTGAAAAGTTTGACAATTTAAAAGGACCTGTAAGAGCTCGGAAAATCCGATCTTGATAGGTTTAAGTAAAATGGACAAAACATTGGACAAAATTTTCGAAACGCTTTACAGACAGCATTATTTTTCGATGGATTTTGTTTTCATCAACTGAAGTCGGTAGTTAATTTTACGCAATTGCATGAAATCACAATTGACACTTCCAAATCTAATTGCATTATAAGCTGTGGACCTGGTTTGACTAAATTACCCTTTATTTCAATTTGCTTCCAAGTGTAGTTCCCAAGTTTGCAATTAGGTGCTTAAAATTCATTTTTACAAATGCAGTTTTTGTTTACGTTAATAGATTTTTTCGGTTTATTTAAAGAGCACTTCAAGAACAGTAAAAGCCTTTCAAATGGTATCTAAAAAGGCTGTCTAATAATAAACGCCTGTCTTAGGACATCAATGCAGTCAAAAAGAGGTCTAATAGAGGTCTGAAATAGATGCGCTAGAATACAATTCAAAGCCAATTACGATATTTTGGTCGAATAGTTCACTTGAAAATTCCAATCAGTTCTGAGTTAAGACCGAAGTGGTTAACTCATAGAGTAATTTCGGATAGGGTACACCGTCTGCTCGTCACGCTATCTTATTTTCGGCCAGATAGATTCGTGCAACTTCTTAGTCTAATACCGATCCTAATCTTACTCTTATATCTACTAGTCTCAAGGTGTTTAACTAGTCTCTGCTAGGCTCAATAGATCTAGAGTATACCGGCTTATTGCGGCAGCTGAAGTTCTCTGGGAGAGGCAACTAATTTCTAAGTTAAATTCAAATCTCTCTGGTGCTGAAATTACAAGTAATTTCAGCACTTACAAATAAGTGGGTTGTTAGTTAGATGGATTATGATTGGTTAATATTAAATATTTTACAGTGGTAAAATATCTAATTTATCCAATAATAAAATGTAGTTTAGATCAGGTTCCACCCATCCGGGGTTTACAGAGTTTTTTAGAACTATCTTTCTTCTCTGCAATTTGAAGGATGGATGATGAACGTTGGTATTTGGCGAACATCATTTTCTTATCCGGTTCCTCTTGGAGAAGAACGCTCCAGGACGCTGGAATTATGGATAAGAAATTATTATGTCGTCATTCGACAACGACTGTGATCCCCAATGAAATCAATCCGATTTCGAAATGGTTTGCTATGACAGTTTTTTCTGCATTATGAGGAGAACTTGTTTTGTGTGCAACCTCGTCTGGGAATGGCGTGAAGATCGTGTGTGGAAGGGATGCCTTGTAACTCGGATCTGTACGTATACTTGATCATCGAGGTGGTCATTGTTCTAGTTCAATGAAGTCCTTTTCTGCGAAGTCAAGTCGTACTCTAAATCCTTTGAGTTGTGATTGTGGACGGCATGTCGGATGTTCGGCAAGACGGCAAGAAAATCATCAGCTTGTTTTATTAGAAATTGAAGTGTTTGCGAAAAAATTTGAAAAATAAGTGTATTGGTTTGTCATGAAGGTCAAATGTTTTTGGTCAGTACAATCTTTTTGGCTGATTGAAATTCACATAGTCGCATAGTTGATGAAGTGTCTCTAATTCGGAGAGTGACATTTCTTGAAAAATTCGACTAATTGTGTAGTCTAACTTCATATCTAAGTGGATATCATAATGAATATTACCAAAATAGGTGCTATTCATTAGTGATAATTCTTGTAAACGTGTGCTTTTACTGTCATGTGGTTTTAGTTTTCCACTAGGTTGACCTGTGCTTTTTTGAAAGTTAACTGGGATGTATGATGTTCCTTCATTTATAGGATGACTTGTGGCATAAGGGTCAAATTTTATTTTTCCAGTGGTCATGTCGAAACCTTTTTCGTATTCGACAAGTATTTCAGAGTATTGTGTTTTATAAAGTGGATTTCTGTATTTACATGCAAATTCTGTTTCTTGATAGATTTGGAAACATGTTAATTTGTTTTCTATATCATGAATATTTCTAAAATAATTATTTTGTTTTCGGGATGGGCTTACTTGTTCGTATGGAATTGATTCTATAAAATATTTTTCGTGAAATTTTATCATTCGAGCGTGTATTTTTGCTACTTGAAATGTTGTGCATGTATCTTCGGGAAACCAAACAATTGTTGCTTGGGTCCTTGTTGTAGGGTCACAATAACCTTGATCATTTTTGCAAGGTAATCTATTTCCTTGATAGATCATTGTGTTATCAGATAAATCTCGTGTGAGTTGTACTTTTTCGAGTTGTATTTTCCAATCGAAAAACAATATTTGTTGATATCCTTTATTTTTTGTGTCTGCTTTGCAGTTTGAGGGGTCATTTATTCCAATGTGTGGTATCCAATGCTTATCGTGTATGTCATAAGTTAATTTTCCGTGTGCGCCGTTATATGGGTATTTTTCGTCTAATTGAATATGTCCTTGATATCGTTCAAGTTCTGCTTGATGTACAGAATCGGCAAAGGCATGAAAATTTACTATTGTTCTGTCTGTGTTTTTATTTCTTGTTAGATTTAGTCTGAGTAATTCGTTTTTACAATCGTCGGGGTTTAGATGTAAAAGTCGTTCTATGTTACTTTGTTAAAACGATTCGTGGTCAAGTCGGTTTTTATTTCCGTTTGAAACTTGTTAACAATGTACTTTCTTTTCGGAAATAAATTGTTGCTGTAAATTTATATCCTGTGACTGTTGTTGCTCGGGCTTTTGAATACAGTGTTGCTATTACATTTGTAGTTTCTATAGCTTGTGGTTCTGTTTCGCATTGTGATACTTGATTTATTGCATATTTGTGTAGTTTTTTTTGTTCGTTTTCTTCACAATCATAGTGTGTTACTAATAAATCTTGGGGTCCTGTGCGAGGAGAAGGATTTGTATTTTGGTCGGAAAATATTAGAAAAAAGATGTGTTAAAACATTAATATTTTTAGAATATACATGTGTATGATAATCCTGAGTATGGGTTATAAAATGTTATGTAACCAATTGTGTTTTTTGTATATCTATCTGTTATATTTGGTGGACTTAATGGGTAGGGGTGTTGGACAATATTATTAAGTTTGATTGTGATTTCAAATTTTAATTGGAGACTTATTTTGTTGAAGTATTTGAATATTGTGTTCTCGAATATCTTCGTGGATATCTTGTCTATACTGTAATCTATTTTGGTTAATTCTAAGCTAATAAGGTCTTATTCGAGACTTATGGTCGCACCAGATGAGTTAAGACCGAAGTGGTTAACTGATAGAGTAATTTCGGATAGGGTACACCGTCTGCTCGTCACGCTATCTTATTTTCGGCCGGATAGATTCGTGCAACTTCTTAGTCTATTAACGATCCTAATCTTACTCTTATATCTACTAGTCTCAGGGTGTTTAACTAATCTCTGCTAGGCTCAATAGATCTAGAGTATACTGGCTTATTGCGGCAGCTGAAGTTCTCTTGGAGAGGCAACTAATTTCTAAGTTAAATTCAAATCTCTCTGGTGCTGAAATTACAAGTAATTTCAGCACTTACAAATAAGTGGGTTGTTAGTTAGATGGATTATGATTGGTTAATATTAAATATTTTACAGTGGTAAAATATCTAATTTATCCAATAATAAAATGTAGTTTAGATCAGGTTCCAGTTCCATTTTAGGTAATAGTTTTTTTTTTCAGTTCTTTCTAATCTTTTTGTAATTAAAAACTTATGTCGTAAAGTTCTGTGGATTTAGCGAAGTTGCTCTGCTCAGATCAAAAAAGTGGGAAGCAATTACGGCATTGGTTGAGTTCTAGTTTGGTTTCATTTTAAAGGCCTTTCTGTCGAGACGTCGGTTCTAAAATGTATTTCAAAAACTTTTTTTAATTGAGAAAAAACTGAGAAAATTTGTTGCTTAATGGAATATCGGTCCCTTCCAAAGTTTGCGAAAAAAAACAACCAACAACTTCAAATTAAACAATCATTTTTTAATGTTTTTATGGAAGTTTTCTAAAACGTAAAAAAACGAAAGAAAAAAAAAACAAATGCTTACAAAGCATATTGTACAATTTGCACAGCAACAAGCTACTCTCTTGTAACAGCAGTTAAACTTACCTTGAGGATAGAATTTGTCGCGGCTTTTAAATCGGTAGTCGTCAATGGGATCCCAGAGCAGTACCGTATTGTCTTGGGGTGGCGTATATGTTTGTTCACGTTGCAGAAACGATCCCCCCATCAGAGAAGCACCTCCCCCTCGCTTTTCAGCTCCTGTAGATTTATCGTCTACTTTGTGCACCTGTAGTCGTATTGCATCAACACCGCATTGGGAAAACGTCAGGATAAAAGCGGCGAGCCAAATAAAGGCAGCGAGCTTCCGAAAAGGATTCGCTTTTAGATGCACTGGAAGGCAAATATGTGTCGCGCTAGATTGCGGCCGAGCATTACACGACGAGTACAATCCATTTTTCATCATATATTTTTGTCCTCGTTTCGAGTTGGCCATTTTTGTATTGAGATGATAAAAGATCGCTCTGGTAAGACTGCTGAAATAAATCATTAGAGTTATAATTTGAAGATATAAAAACGATGTAAAAAGGATCATTGATTAACTAGTGAGAAAAACACCAAAAAATATCTAATTCTTTGATTAATACCACACACTATTATACAAATCAACAATCTGGGAAACATTATATAAAAAAGTTTGAAGTCTATTTTAATTTGAAATCTGATGTTTATCAATGTCGGGCGAAACAAACTTTGTGCAAAAAAACTTTTGATAAGAGGTTGAGCTCGAGCGTTAATATGCATAGCGGAATTGATTTTAGTCAGAGTCTTGGAAAAAAAATCCATAATGAGCAGCTGGTTACTGTGCAAAAAGAGCAATTAGTTCATTCTTTTTGAAAATTGTTTAAAATTATAAATGATGCTATCTGGTTCCCGTTATTCTTTCGAAGAAAAAGACGGAATATTTGAGCTCGGAGTGTTTTTTTCCCCAGACAATTCTTGACTGTTAGCTAGCGCTGTTTGACAAAATTTTTTTATCAACCGAAAAGTATTGTTGTCTTGAGCTCAAATTTAGAAAGATATTTCACCTGTGATTTTTTAAAAGTTACAAGTGTTCAAAGATTGCCGATTTGGGAAATTTAACGCGCAATATATTTCGGGCTACTAACATGAAATCGGAGATGTAATCCGTCTTAGAAATCGTTTTTAAATGAACTGAGGTTTGCTATGTGGTCTTTTTAGCTCTTTTTCGGGTTTTTTTTTCAAGTTTTCATTATTTTAAACGAACAGTACTTCATAGACTTTAAAAGGGTCTGAAAAATCGATACATTGCCCTTATGCATGCAGTTTTGTCGGATCTTAATCATAAGTTCCCCATTATGCATAGAAAAAAAATTTACAACCCATTCTTCATAAAAATCCATTTCAAAAACATCATCAGGAAATTAAATTTATGTTTCCTTCTCGTATTTGCTTAAAATACCCTCTAAGAAGCCAGAAGTTGGAAAATGGAATCACATTTTTACTCTGAAAGTTATTTTAAACTGATCAGTTTACTGTAGAAAAAAAAATGCAAAAAACTGAAAAATTTCACTGTAAAAAAATTCATGTCAAAGGCGATGTAGGTTTATTTGAAGGACAACTCTAAATGGAATCAGTAAGAAATCAAACTTTAATGCATATATTGTATACAATTAGATATCTAGGAGGACACGGATTTTGATATGTGGAATTAGCTCTTATAAAGTTGTTTGTCCTGGGCAATTTTTTCCAGGGTGATTTCATCCTAGACCCGATACCATGCTGTTTTTAGTTAAATGCTAGTTTTGTTAAGTTTTTCAACTTTTGTTTTTCCATCGTATTTTTTTTTCCAATCTGATGAGCTCCTTTTCAGAAAGTTTGAAGTAATGTCCTCTAGAATTTAACATTTTTAGATAGCAGGTTGTCGCCTTATAAGTTTCTTGTAGTTAGTTAGACTTTTTGTAGTTATTTTAATTAATATTTTTAGGTGTGCCTTGCTTTCTAGCTGCTCGTCTTTGTTGTTGTACGTACTTTCTAGGAAAATCACGGAGTAATTGTGCTCAATGGAGTCTTTTTTTAGAACACGTTTTTCTCAAGCCCTTATTTAACGGTGTTTTCATATCCTATAACAAATGTTGGACTCAAATTTATTAAAGATTCTACAAGTGAATAGTTTTGTAAACTAATGGGGGCTTACAAATTCCCAGTTTGGAAAACTTAAGGCGCAATTATTTGCCATTAACGGGGGTAAGCGGCAATTCAGTTCGGCTCAGAAAAAGTTCCAAATTGAATTAAAACAAGACTGCTCGTATCAGGGCGAAGCCCTGAATGTTTCGACTGCCTTTTAAGTTTTATGGAGCAGTAATAAAAAAATTAAATGAAATAAAATAAAATGAATATTTTTTTTCTAAAATTTGAAATTTTTTATGAAAATCATCTCCCCACACGCCATATAAAGTACAAAAGGATAGATTTCGTTCCTTGTAACAAATCAATTATGGCAAAAAAGTTTCGTTCAACCAATTTGGAACGATTTCTAAGACAGATTAAATCTTCGCTTACGCGTTAATAGAGCGAAATATATCGCGCGTTAATTGTCCTAAATTGGTCAAAATGGCCAAAATGGCAATGTTTAAACCCTCATAGCTTTACAAAAAATGATCACAGGTGAAATATGTTTTCAAGTTTGAGCTCAGGACAACAATACTTTTTGAATGATAATAAAAAATTCCGTCAAAAATGGCTAGTTAAAAAGTCGAAATTTGTCTGAAGAAAAAAAACCCACCCGAGCACAAATATTCCGTTACTTTTGTATCGAAAGTCGGAACAACAAGCTATATGGTTTCGTTTTTAGATTGAAGGAAGTAAAATACTGTTTTACATAGAGTATGTAAAATAATCAAATTTTATTTTTAGCTAGCATAGTTTATCAAGACGGCAAGAAAATCATCAGCTTGTTTTATTAGAAATTGAAGTGTTTGCGAGAAAATTTGAAAAATAAGTGTATTGGTTTGTCATGAAGGTCAAATGTTTTTGGTCAGTACAATCTTTTTGGCTGATTGAAATTCCGGTTGCAATCTAAACTTGCCCTGGGGCAGTTTCGCGAGTTTGAAATTTTATTAATGTTAAAATTTTCTTGATTTTTTCATCTTTTTTGATAACCGCATATGTGATTTTGATTTTCCCCATCTGTTCATTTGCCTGGTCAGTTTTTTAAAACAATTTGCAGTGTTTCAGACTTGAATGAAACGTTTCCATTTTTTTTTTAGTTCGAGTACATATTTTTTGTCGTGTTTCTTACTCAATTTACTTGTTAATTTTTACTCATTTTAAAATATTTTTCTTGTGATCGTTTTTTTTTGTAAAGTTAAAACGGTTTTAAAATTGCCAGGTTGACATATCTGCGCGTTAACTGCCTGCGGCTATGTAGTCGGGCTCAGCGAGCTGCTCCAATTTGATATGAAGCAAGCTAGTAGAAACGATTACTACGTTACTTGCAGCTACAAGACTACTGGTATCAGGGGTTCGCCCTGAATATTCCGGTGTTCCGACAGCCCATTAATGTGTATGTTCGTTTTTTATTGAAGTGACGTTTTTGGGAAATATTTTTTAAATTTAAAAACCATCCCCATGCGCTATTTATAAACATAGTGAAACAGTATTTAGTAACGTGACAATTATGGCAACTAGCATGCCTCAATTCAATTTGGAACGTTTTCTGACCCGGGTTAAATTGCCACCTACGCGGAGTATATCGCGCGTTGATTATTCTAAATGGGAAAATTGGTAGTTTTCAAAACGTCATAGCTTTACTTAAAAACGACCAGGGTTAAAATATTTTTCAATTGTGAGCTCTCAAAAGCTGTCTAATGATCTTTAAAAATCCCTTCAAAAATGGCTATTCAAACAGTCAAAACTGGTCGAGCGAAAAAAGCACACTAAGCACAAAAACTCCGTCATGTTCTTAGAAAGTCAGAACAATAATATCGATTCATACCTTGAATAGCGAATGGGCGAATGTTTTTAACATTTTGTTTCCAAAATTTCGTCACTTTTAAATTTTCTGAAAAAATGAACTATTGTTTACATATAAACAATCTGATGAAATCATGCACAACAATTGTTGAGAAGCTGTTTCGTCTCTGTTCAAAGTTTGGATATCAAGTCATAAATACCGATTAGCGATGACACTGTCACTGGCCATCAACCTCGTGATTATAATGTGTAGGCTCATAGACCGCCTTGCTGTCGTTTTTACCAGAAATGCAGATTGATCACCTACGGCCGCTGATTACGTAACTTAACAGCAATCAGAAGACATATTACTTCCTGGACAAGTGCATCAACTGCAAAAATGACATCAGCTACCAAAGTAAAACATACCCATGCTTGTCATCTTCACTTTTTATAGTACAGAAGTGGTTATTAATGTTTAGTTTGAAAATGCTTTCTTGCAGCGGGTTAATTTGAACTTTCGATTTCTGAAAACATAACGTCAAATGATACTCTTATTTAATATTCAAACTATATTGAAAAATTAAAGCTATCAAATTTGCATGTTAGAGAAGCGGTTAAGACTAGAGAGTTTTGAGGTTTAAATAAATCGGGCAACCAACCAAAGGTCCGAATCAATCAAACTAAACAGTAAAGGTTTTAAAAAAACAGTAATACGCTGCGTCTTCCTATATTTTGTAAAAACATTGTAAAACATTATGCAGAAGATGGCCTTAAAAACTATTTCTCAATTACACAAGAAAAAAACTCACATGCGAGCACCTAAACGCCCAAATTGGAAAACGGAGAAAATCTGCGGTCCATTTTCCCCAGAAAATTGAGTCTCTTCTTTGGAATTTAATTTAACTTAGTCATTTTGTAATGAATTTCTTCTTCGTGTGCAAATGACTTAACCTGAAGACCTTTATCATTACGCAATTAGCCATAATATTATGTTACTATAAATAAACAAGACTGCTCGTATCAGGGGAAAGCCCTGAATGTTCCGACTGCCTTTTAAGGTTTATTGAGCAGCAGTAATACATAAAAAAAATTAAATGAAATAAAATAAAATGAAATTTTTTTCTAAAATTTGAAATTTTTTATAAAAATCATCACCCCACACGCAATATAAAGTACAAAAAGATAGATTTCGTTCCTTGTAACAACTCAATTATGGCAAATAAGCTTCTTTCAACAAATTTGGAACGATTTATAAGACGGATTAAACCTCCGCTTACGCGTTAATAGCGCGAATTATATTGCGCGTTAATTGTCCCAAATTGGTCAAAATGGCCAAAATGGCAATCTTTAAACCCTCATAACTTTACGAAAAATAATCACAGGTAAAATATTTTTTCATATTTGAGCTCAGGACTACAATACCTTTTGAATGATATAAAAAATTCCGTCAGAAATGGCTATTTAAAAAGTCGAAATTTGTCTGAAGAAAAAAAAACCCACCCCGAGCACAAATATTCAGTTACTTTCGTATCGAAAGTCGGAACAAAAATGTAAAATT